GATTAAAATGTATTAAGCTCTTAATTTTAGTCAAAAATTTCTCGGAACCTGATTTTCCTAGAAACACTCCCATATGTCTAAAGAAAACAATAAATAGGAAAAAATAATAAATTAGATGAAGAATTTTATCTGTTTAAAATTAATTCTTTTTAAAGTTAAAAAAAGAATTTTGATAATATTTGTAATAAAATATTTTATTTAATCATAATTCTTAAAAGTGAGAAAGTGGGTCTAATAAAATTAGTATAATAATAACTTATAGAGTAATTTTAATAAGATTTCAAGTATTATGAAATTAATTTCAAGTATTATAAAAATTAGTATAATAATATCCTATGGGATAATAAAATTTTATGTATTTTTTATAATAGCAAAATAATTTAATAATAAAATTTTAAATAATAAATTTTAGAATTGTCTTATTAATTAATTTGACTCAATATTTAAAATTAGAACAATTTATTATTGGTTAAAAATGTTTATTATAGTATAATACTTTTTATCATTATTTACTCAAAATCAATTTCTTATTCTACTCTATAAGGTGTTTTAATAGCTTAGCTTTCAATTAGTTAATTTTTTTCTCATTTTTGACTTATAAAAAATTAATATTAATCATTTTTATCTTCCTTTTAACTGTAAGGAAAATTTAAGATTAGTATTGAATTATATCTGCCTTTATACTTTCAAATGCTCCTTTTAATTAGTATTACTATGATAAATATATGTTATAAATTCTTTATTTTTTTTTTTTTGAAATCTTCTAATAAAAATGCAAAAAGCACAAACTTTATATATCTAATAAAATTGTATTTGATTAAAATTTTTATTGATAATTAGTACATTAGCACCCTTACATTATTGAGATTCAAATCAGAAAGAAACTTTAACTTTCCAATATTAACTTTCTAAAAGTTGAAAAAGTTGCTTGATAATAAAGGTCTAAACCATTTATTACGAATTTTTAATGAGATATAGTAACAATAGTATAATAAATAGAACTTGCAGAATATTGTTATCCATTTTTTTTTATTATATAGGTCGCTAGTTGCTTATTAAGATCCTATACTAAACTACATTTTTTTCTCTCAAGATTATGAAACCAGATTTTTTGATGTTTGTTGTACTCTTAACTTTACTGCTGTATTTTATATATTTGGCATTATTTATGTACTAGAAATTCAACAAAAGTAATTTAAAAAGAGAAAGAGAAACAAAAAAATAAAGCAAATAATAATGTTTTACTTATAATAGCTGCGACGTATATAAAAATGTATAAAAAAAGAAAGCTTAATTTATCAATATATTCTAATTTCAAAATAAGTATTTATAAAATTATAGCGACATGACATATACCGTATGTATTGACCAAATTTTGAAGAATGATAAAAATTTAACCAATCACTAGGTAAATATTTAAGTTATAATATAAAAAATTATTTTAAAAATCTAAATAAATACATTTTATTTCTATTCAGTATAACATAATAATTCAATCGATAAATAGTAAATATTATCATTGAACGTTTAATAATTTACTTACATATATCTTATCGAAAATAACTAATAATTTCTTTTTTTGTGATCTTATGCTTAATTTTATAATATAGATTAAACAAGTCAGAGAGTATTTTAGTGATCGGATAGGGAAAATATAAATGGCATAATTTAAAAATAGCTAAAAAATAACTCATCCCTTTAAACTTGTATATTAAGCATATTATATTTGTACCTAAATAAGTATTTTGCAAAAATTCTATTAATATTCATTCGAATAATTTAATTCAGAAAAATATAAATGTTTGCTTTTATAAACAGCTTGGCTATGAATTTCTTGATATTTATATTTTTTTATATATGAAATTTTTTTCTCTTCAGCAAGCTCAAATTGGTCGAACAAATCCGAAGAATCAGGATCGTCGCAAATAGCAGTAACCCAATTTCCTAGTAATTCATATAATTGAGATGCTACTGGACGCTTTGAAGAATTGGAGTTCCAGCATTGAGTTATAGTTTGAATATAAACTTCTGGAGTTCCATCAATAATTTCAGGTCGAAGACCAAAGCAGATTTCAGTAGCTAGTTGATTATCATGTGGTCTATTACACCATGGTCGAATACCCGCAGAAAGTGTCCACATGATAATTCCAAAACTGTAAATATCTGAAGACTTTGTTGGTGGATTTCCCTTTAAAATTTCAGGATCCATATAAGGAAGAACTCCATATATTTCATTTGAATTTTTATTGTTAGCTGGACCATGTAATCCCATATCAGCAATATGTATATCAATGGAATCTTGTTCACTTTCAACTAATAGATTACCCCCATGAAGATTTCCGTGAATAAATTCATTTTCATGAAGATATTCAATTCTTCCAGATATTTCCCAAAGCAAAACAATTATTTCTTTCCAACAAAGTATTCCTTGTACTTTATCAAGGTAAGAATATAAGTCTTCACTGTCATAATATCTCATAACAAACATGTAATTTGAGGTGTGATCTTTTGTTATTCCGAAAAAATCCGCAACAGTTCCGCTTTGTAGACAATGATGATATCTGTAAAGCTTTATATAAAATTTATAAATAAACTTTACTAAAAAAAAAAATCTAAAAAATTTTGTAAACAAGAATTAAATAAAACATACCTGTTTTAAATATTCATCACTCATATTTTGTGAATTGTTAAGTTTTTTAAGAGCAACTTTTATTGGTCCGTTACGTGTCCATTGCTCAGCCTCTTCATCCCAAATCCATCGAGGTCCTTCCAACCAAAGTGCTGAATAAATCGTACTAAAGTCTCCGCCTTTATTCGTATTTTCTATTAGGTCGAGCTGTTCAAAATTGATATATTCCAAATAATCGACACTTCCAGATGCATTTAATTGAGTATACTTAATATAATCATCAATATTAAGATTACCACTTGTCCAATTTACAAAGTCTAGTTTAAAAGAATTAATTTCACAATCATTACACCATCCTACACTGATTCGTTCTTTTCCGCATTCGGCACATCTTCCAAAAAAAAAACTTGATACCCTTTTTGGTTCATATTCATTTTCCAAATCCAAATACATAGCAACCACTACAAATACTGTAAAAGCATTAGTTTCTTTTTGTATATATGGGTCGTTTGCTATTAAAATCAAGTTATTAACTATCTTTGAATTAAGAAATTAATCATGTGACGAATAATGGGCCTGACAAATAGGATTTTGCAGCTAAGTTCCCAGAATACAATGCTCAATTTCCATCGTTAAAAAAATGGGTAAAAATTTGAATGATGTCACTTATAGCCCTTATCTTGATTAATTGCATGAAATAATGTAACATTGTTTTATTGCTTACACAGTTCACCGCAAACAAATTAAAGCTTTATGTAAATTAAATGGCGCAGTTTAAAAAATTTTTACGTGACGAATATTATATAAAAAGATAGATATTGAATTAACTTACAATTTAACTAAAATCGGAAAGTCTAATTTAATTAATCCTCGCCATTTTTCTTGTTAAAAACCATTCATATTTATATGTCAAAACGAAAAGAATTTTGATAAATAATTAAGCGTGAAATATTATATACAAGGCAATTTAAATCATATGTTTCGAAAAAAGGACAGTTGAATGCCATATGGTCCACATTTATGTGACAATTTTTCTTTGTTATGGTTACCGCGTCTAAATAATCAAGCATTAAATATACGCATAAATAATTTAACATTAAAATTTTAAATTTCGTAATGTTTCAGAAATTGCCACAATAATTTTTCTATAGAAAATTGATCCGTATTTATATCTATAATCGTTAAATTCATTTGTATTTATAAAAAATTTGTATTGTAAGCAGAAGGTATTTATTAAATAAAAATGAAGTAATAATGACAAAATATTTATTTAATATTATCATATTAATCAGTGTTGCCTCAACATCGGCGCTCTACACTGTCGCTTGATCAATATTTTAAACTATGAAAATGCCAAGTACTAAATTCTATTTAATTAAAACTGCGCAAATACGAAATAATTACATAAATAAAATTCTAATTAAATCGGAAATTAAAAATAAAATAATAAACGAGGTTACATATACGAAATTAAAAAGTAAAACAGCGAAAACGAAAAATGTCGCGAAAGTGTAAAAAGGAAGGATTTCGAAGGGAATGTATTCAAGAAATATCACAAGGATTTCCAGCTCGTATATATTAAAAAAAAATATATATATTAATTAGGCCAGCTTGGCGTCTTGAACATTTTGTCATACTGGCACCTTGACAACCTGGTATCTTGACAGCCTGGCGCCCTGACAAACTGGCGCCCTGACATCCTGGCACCGTGCCAGCCTGGCAAATGGTCATCAAAGAACTAACTGCAAATATCGAAAGCGATTTTCATGCGGAATTATGGAGATTTCGGCCGGAATTACTTTCAATTGTAACAATATACACGGAATTAATTAGTTTCATAATGCAAATTCGAACGTTGTATAATTTAAAGGCAAATAACCCTGACTATTTTACAAATTCGTTTGCTATTAAAATCAAGTTATGAAAATCCGTAACGTGATTTTAATATAGTAGTGTAACATTTCTTTATTTATTTACATGCTTTTACATGCTGTGCATGAGAATAAGTTAAATCGTAAGGAGATAAATAGTAAGGAGATATAAATAATCTGAAACACTTTCACATAATGCAAGTTTGTTTATAAGATACGATCAGAAGATAAGGCTTCAGTGCATAGTGTAAATTACTTGGAATATGTGTTTGGATTTACATGCATGATTACGTTAAAGATCAAGTTGATCTTTAAAGTACAAGATAAAAAATGCATGTGATAAATTTAGATCTACTGGTGGTGGTGATATGATGCGTTCAAAGAAAAATTATTTGAGTTCAAGACGACTGTTATCTTTTTTTTATCTATTTCCATTTTAATTTTAATCCGTTCCCTTTGATGATTTCATCTTTTTGTAAAAAAAAGTCAGTTTAGCGATATCGTTTACAAATTCAACAATTTTTTTTTTTAAAAAAAATAGAGAGAAAAAAGATTTCATTTCAGATTTGTAAATAAAAATATTGTTGTATTCAGTTTTTTCGCTTATATTTAGGCTACGCACATTAGCATTTTCGGGTTACGTCACCCTGGTCCGCTTTATATGCAAATCATAACGATGCGAGGACGTGGTAATTTAATTAAATCAGATCAACCTGTTTTAAATTTTTTTGAAAATTTTTTTATTTTGCGTGATATTTTATCAGATCAGATAATTTGAATAAAAATATATATATGTTTTAGATTTTTATAAAGAAAAAACAGCGAGTGAGATAATGCTTATACGTAATGATAATCGATAAATTGTTAGATATCACTCGATACTAATGATATGTTGATTTTCTTTGCTACACAATCTAATCTTTATTTCAGGATCTTATCCAACTGCTTCTAAACAACAAATATAATTCACTTCAATCTTAAATATGATAGCAAATTATCCAATTGAACTTGGTCCTGTGTCATTTGAGTCATTTCAACATTAAATGACAAATGGTCCGACCATTTAAGAATTATTTCATATGATATTAATTATTTCACGTGATATAAATTTGTTATTCTGGCCAACTTATAAAATTTGGCCTGTATTACTTCTAAATGACCCATATGAAAAATGACCCTCAAATGACCTGATCATTTGTATATTAAAATGCTATTTTTTTATAAGGATACGATAGATGTTTTGTAGTTCTGACATAAAACTTTCAAGTTAATAGATTAAATTTCTAAATGTTTAAAGTTTCACAATTAAAATTTTTATTTTTTTAATCACCAACAGAAAATTATGTATTATAATAATACAACCTTTTTCGTTTTCATATAATTAAATGATTTCATTGAAGTCGACTTATTATATGCCAAAAATATTTTTTTCATTTATCAAATCTTTAAAATGGCATCATTCATCCATTCAATTCATTAAAAATCCGTTATTCAAGTTTCCTAATATGGTGTAATTGATCGACATTCGCTTTCGTCTAAATAATAAACAAATCGGGCTGTGAATTAGAGCTGTTGTCCAATCCATTATGGATGATTTTCAAAAAAATGAAAATCAATTATTTGTGCCTACGTCATAATATTCAATTTTTTAAAAAAGTTTTATTTTCTTCTTATATAGTACTAACCTTTTGAGTACACCTCCGATATTTCCACTTCCATTGCAACTTTAAAAATTCTTTTTTTTTTCATAAAATGATATCGAGGATAAACAAAAAGTCTTATGAAGATACTGATTATGACTCCTTTCGTATCGAGAAATCCGCTGAGACACTTAATTAATATACTGAATAATTTTGAACATGATCATCTAGTAAGATTAATTATGCATAAAAAAAATCTGCCCGTTTCATTAAATTATGTGATGTGGATTCAGAGTTATAGTTATTGTGGGTTAGAGATCGTTTCAGAAACAATTATCTTATTGAGTCGTGTTCGTATAAAGTCTGTATACATCTTCCTAACCCACACACGAACATTTTTTAAAAAAAAAAATTAGCGGATCTTAGAATTATATTAATTCAATCACGTGAATAGTTAAAATTAGGAGCATCGAGAAATTATTAATACTACACATAGATTGATTATGTTGAATGAAAAGAATTCCCCTGGACGCATATTCATTTGTTGTAATGCAGCTGCAAAATATTTAATTTGCTGCACAAAATTCGATCCTCTTCGAAAATTAAAATTGTTAAAAATTCCCTGAATTCAAAATGATTAATACATTTTTAATTTTTCTTTCTAAGTTCCTTTGATTACTTCAATATGAAGTAGACGCATAAACTTTCTATTTTGAAAGACAAGAAACTATGAAATGATTACTACAGGTTCTGAGATTTTTTGACAAAAATTAAAAAAAAAAAATGTCAATTTTGTTGAAAATTTCTAGAAATCAATTTTCCTCCTCAGAACCGTCCGGGTATTTTTCAATCTAATGCAAGCCGACGAAATGTTCCAAGACTTCTATCGATCATTTTCTTTGTATCGTTTCTTCTTACACAGCTTTGATTCTTCAACACCGAATTCGATATTTGCCTATTCAACTGTCAACCCTTAAGTTATGTCTATTGAGGCTTGATCTTGCCACTTACGAAGTTGCGAATGTACGTAATATTCTATTTTTTACTTTACTTGTATTTTTTGTTATCCCAAAGTATTATCAAAAAGAGAATTCTTCTGTTTTATCTAATAATAGAAAAAGATGACATAGAGAAGAACATCACGGAAAAGTGACGAAGGAATACGATTGAGGATCCATCATGTGTAAATTAAGAGATCAAGACAAAACTACGGTAAATTAGTTCCGGCACAAACATTTATTAGCTAAATAAATCAGATTAAATGATTTATGGTTTTAAGAAAAAAATTTTTTCTCATTTGCTTTTAATAATTTATACAGGGAATGAAAATTGCTTGATTATCAGATAACCTGAAATGTTAATAAAGTGAAATGACAATTTAACTTTAAAAGTAATTAAGGCTATTAAACTTTAAATGATTTGTTGTGATAATGAATAAGCGATAATGTCTTGGCGTAGTAATCGCCTAACATGGCTATCTAGCGTTGACTGTACAAAATTCTAGAAACATAAATTTGGGCATAAAGAGAATTAAAAGTTTTTTAATGAATTATTAAATTTCTAATATTTATAAAATTACTACGGTCAGTATTTATTTTCCAATTGAATAATAACGCTTTACTTACAAAATATATTGATTATGTGATTTTTTAACGTAACCTATTTTATTTTCCTAATCAAGAAGTGTATTTATTACCATGCATGGAAAATCTATTTTTCGATAAACAAGCTAAATGAAATAACCATTTCTAGCCTAGCCAAATCTCTTTAATATGAATATTTATATAAAAAGAACTTGCTGAAAAAAAGCGAATGCATGATTGAAAATCATTAAAATTTGTAAAACATTTAGGATATTATCATACCACGATCATTCGGAACTTTTGATTTTATGGATTTTACTTTTGGAATTTGCTTAGATTGTAAAAATGAACGAAGCAGTTTAAAATGGTGTAAAGTTTGTGAGAATAATTCTTTTAGAGAAAATTTTAACAATTGGACAAGTGGTAATCTTAATATTGATAATTTCATTAAGCATACTCAATTAAATGCAACTCGAAGTGTAGATTACTTGGAATTTATTGAATT